ACATACGTCCTCGTGTGGATGAAATAATAATGAGGAGAGGTCTTTATTTGGCTTGTAGCCAGAGCAGGAGTGAATAATAGATCACTGCTCTCTGCCTTGTAACAACTCTCTTGCTCACGTGTCCTCTCCTGTGATGCAGCACTTTCTCTGATGAGGTCATCCTGACCACTGGCTATCCTCAGTCACTGCATCCCTCACCACCCTTCTCCTATCTGCACACTACCTCTTATCCCTCTCCTCCAAGCAGTCTGTTGTCAGCCGTCTCTCTCCAGCTCTTCCTCCAGCCATCTTTTTTAAATGTTTCCTCTGTCGAATGCATCCATCTTTCTGCCCCTCACTTCTTTGTATGCACGTCTGAAGCCATCACTTCACTCTCTTCCTCCATCTCCCCTTTTAATACCTTTTCATTTCTCCAGATATCACAATGTTGTGGCTCACTGATATTTAGTACAGGCTGTCATTCAGAGAGGAAACAAACTACATGTAATTGCCAACGAAGTGGAGATTTTAGTGTCGGATTGCGGAGAAGCTGGCGGCACTACCTTTCCTTGAAAAATGAGGTTGTTGTCCTAATAAATGAAAAGCACTGAGGTATTCCACGACACTTTATTTGTAGAGCTATGAGACATTTCGCAGGGTGAAGGGATTCTTCAGCGTGCCTCGATGAGTTATGAAGGATATCCTGATAACGTGACCGAAGGTTTCATGTTTAAAACTCTATGCACTGTTCAAGTCATAACATTTCATTCACAGAATGTATTATAACCACACAGTGGCCTGCAGAGATTACGGCCTCAGCAGGCAACTACCAAGTCAAATAAGAGAGAGACTCAACAGTGAACAAATGCTGAAACCATACCAAGGAAGAATTCCCCAGCAATGAAGTGAAAGCTAAAGGTCCAGTGGAAAAAGGGTTCTCAAAAGCTTATTTTGGGGCAAATGTAGTTATTTTTTGTTGTTGTTGTTGTTTGATTGCTGATTATATACATGCAGTTTTCTGTCCCATTCATGACAGTCACCGCCCAGTAAAAAACAAGACTTGTGGAGAAGTAGGAATGAAGCAGCGCTTCAGACCAAAGCTAAGTATGTCCCAATATGTGAGCTTCATAAAGTATCTCTTACCGTCAGTGAAGTGAAGGTCATGCACATGCCTCCAAACCCATTCAATGCCAATGCGAAGAAGATCAGGATGGACAGATCTACCGGAGAAAGCAACACACGCAGATGTTACTAGACCGACTTACTAGGCCAACACATGACGAATCTCACATACTGTATCTGATTAATTAGCATTAATACATCATATGAGCCGTGATAATGTAATGAGATGTATGTGACACAGGTAGAGGTACGTACTGTTGGGGTCTCTGGCACCATAGGCGATGAGAAGACAGGAGAAGGCAAAGCAGGCACTGGAAAGACAAAGCAGTCGGCTATGAAAAATAGGTTGGACAAGAAAAGAACCATCACTATCCAACAGACAGCAGGATTCACGGGCTCACCTCCCCAACAGTCGCAGCTTCCGCGGCCCGTATTTGTCCATGATAATACCCAGGGGCAGAGTTATGGCTGACAGCAAGAAGGAACCCACAGTAAAGGCCAGGTTCAGCATCTCATCCTGGTCTTTGCAGATGGGCCAGCTGTTCATTTCCAAGTACTCTTCTTCTGCACCTTTGGCTGCAGGGGTGGATGTGTTGGAGAAGTTGAAGCTGGAGCTGTTTTCTGGTTGGAAATAAGAGCAGACAGAATTTTATGTACTTTTTTTCCCAGTATTTCCATTTTGCTACATAATGACACAGTTTTCTAGACATTTCTAGAGGTGAGATCTGAAATGAACACTTGCTTGCTTTTTCAGAGCTTATTTCTGATATTGTTCTTGGAATACTGAGCTTTTACAGCCACCCCTCCCCTCTCAGAGCTGAGCTTCTGATCAAAAAAGCCAGGAAACTCATTCAAAGGTCAAGTAAACAACCCAATACAGGGTAAACAAGTACCAGAAATAGACCCAAACTGAACCCCCTGCATGGTGCAGGGCAACTCTGTAACAGTTTTAATCAGTCTGCCTCCTCTGGTGAATTACTGGTAAACACAGTCCACTGAGTTCATGTGGAGTCTATTTTTGTCCTTGTGCTCGATAAGACCGCTGCTGTTGGGTAAACTCTGCTGTTGTCAGACAGATAGACAGAGGACACAGAGGAGCACTGATCGAGGAAAGCAACTCGTCTTTGATTAGGCAAGGAAAACAATACAAGTCAAATCAGCATTTACCACATACTTCATATGTGGAGGAGGGAGCTTTAAAGAAAGTCATCTGAGTGTTTTCTTTATTTGAGTCCTGCGGGCAAGTTTGCAACAGCAGCTGAAGCCTCTGCACACTCAGTGTAAACAGAACTGGAAATCTGTTTCCCGTTACAAGAGTGTGTCACTGAGCTCTACTCAAGGGAAAAGTGAGGATGGGAGGACGGATGTGTTGTTGTTGTTGTTGGTCTCAAACCCCTTAGGCATTGGTTCGAGACCAACAGAAAGCTGTTATTTCATATTTAAGGCAGAGTGGTGCAGAAAAAACTGGCATGCACCCTGTGATGAGAGGAGGTGAAAGGTAACATGGCTTAGTGAATATCTGATGACTGCAGGGTCATTCTAATGCTGGTGCATTCATTCACTGAGGAACACAAGGACACTTGAGCTCCAGAGGCTGCTTTTAGCTAAACACATGCAGAAGAGCTCGATTATGCACGAGGGCACAAACGTGGAATGATCTGTGGGATGTTACTAAATGTCTTCCACCTCTATTGTGATACATTTTATTCAAACGCATCCTCAATATAGATTGAATTAATGAAACACACAGTAGGATCTTCCCACAAGGTAGGGTGCATCATCATCATACTGATTTAGAGTAAATGGATAAACTCAACAGTGCATTTCCTTGGTTGCTGTTTCTACAGTTTGGGATTAAGCTTCCAATCTCAAAATCTTAAAATTTTTCTTTAAAAAAAGAGCCAGTACACATATGTGAAATTAAAAGCCACACTGATTCATCCACTGGGAACCACGAATAACTCCAAGATATTACATTGAATACATTTTAAATGGCACCTATAGTGTTAATAACAGTGGCGGTTCTTAAATTTGTTGAGACTCTGGGCAAAGATTCACAAGAGGCACCCCCCGAAGTAATCTTCTTGATGTTTTCTGTATATTTGCTGCTGTGACAACTCAATTTCCCTCTGGGATTAATAAAGTTTACCTGATTCTGATTATGTTATAACCAACAACAACAGTCCTATAAAATGAAAGAGATCATTTTTATTTTGATAACAATGCACAAGATCCAGTTGTCTATGAACGTTCAGCCTGCTAGCTATGCTAACAACCCGACAGGGTGAAGTCAGGTGGGGAAGTCAGATGACTTTGCACATTGCCACTGCTGCAGTTTAACGTTTGTTGCTGGCCTTGCCTGATAGCAAGAAACACATCTGGTTAGTAAAGTAAGGTGATCACAACAGTCAATAGTCTTTCATATGGGCACCACATCTGAAAATTATTTTTTTTCATCTAATATTATTGTCAATTATAGATTATGTGCTCTGCCTCCCAGGCAGGTATTTCACATCAACTAGACAAGAGCATTAAGTGCTGACTGTGAAGGAAGATAGCAGCATCTGTCCTCCAGTAGCCCCAACTACTGCTGACTAATCAAATGGCCACAGCAAACATGAGTCAATAATGGAAGAAACATGTCCACGCAAACACACTGAGGCATAAAGCTCCAACTCCCCTTCTCTGAAAACGTCTTTCTGATAAGTCACATACGTCCACCGCTCTTCAGTGTTCTTTTCAACACCACAGGAACCTTCTAAGATTCTCAACATGGCCTTTTGTTTAATAAACTCCTCCTGTGGATACAAAGGATGTCAAATAGTCTAATCTACAACAAAGTGATTTGGTTTCATCATTGCTGCAATGTGCTAAGAGCACCGTTCTTTTGGCTTGACTGTTTACCAAGAAACGTAGCTTATCACTAAAAGAGTCAACTGACAGGAGAGCATGAAGAGAAACATCGCTCTAGAGCCCACAAACCACAACCATGCTACAGCAGCTGTATTAACACAAAAACAGAGAAGTGACCTCTTAGGAAGGCTGTGCTTCTTGTGATCAGTGGCTCGTGTATGGATGTGGTTATTATGCAAAGGTCAAGTGATTGTTACAAGTCTGTACACCTACCCATGTATATTTAAGTCTCTAAAGCACCCCTTTCCTCCCTCATCAGGACGTCTGTTTGCAGAAAAATGCCTTTTCGTCCTAATTTCACTCACAGACTTCTCACAATTGAAGTGAAATGTAAAAAAACAAAAACAAAATGCAGATTTTACACAATAATGGGTGGTTTTTAAAAGTGTGGGGCTACACTGATGTGCCAGAGGTCAGGTCACTGTGGAAGGAGCTGAGTCAACAGTAAGAGATACCTAAAGCTTAATCAGAGCAAACAGATAAGGAAATGACCCGAGCAAAACAGTCAGAGAAAGAGAATTATCAGAGCTAAATTGATTTAAAAAAGGCTTTACATGCACAAATTAACCCTGCAAGGCTTTCGCAGCTGCTGCTTTGTAGGATACAAAGAGAGAAATACACAGAGGAAGATACAATCAGAGGATCAAAGAGACAAAGACAGAGAGCAGCCTGTCTGATGATCACTGTGGAGAATGAAGGGATGAATGGTCTCCTTCACAGGCGGGCTGCAATGGATAAAAACTCAATCCCTGATGATGAAGATGAAGCAGCCAGTTCTCTTCAGCATGCTGTTACATTTCACCTCCTCTACACTGTTTCTGTGGACAGCACTGATTACCGAATGCTAGGATGGAGGAACCACTGTCCTCATCTGGTTGGGTTTTTTTGCTTTTTAAACAGGGCAATCTTTCATAACCAAATTATAACCCTCTGAGTACAGCAGCTCACTGCATCATCTTTGATCACAGAGTAGGAGACAGAATCAAATAACAACAAAATGACCATCTCTGATGCATCTGTGGCATTGTTGTGCAGGAGCACTTTATGGATGCTTTCGAGGGTTTTTCAGACCTAGGCTGCTGTCGCCATAATGACCCATTTTCCACAAGGAGAAGCCAACTGTTGGATCAATGAGAAGCTCTTGTTTGCCAATATGCAGGCAGGCACTTTTCTCAAAGGTCCTGCTCCTGCTGAGAGAAGTAACACACTGCACTGAGGATGAGGTGCCAAAGTAAGATAAAACATGGGTACTTTCTACAAAAAGGTTTGCACACTTGCTTATGTGTTCTGCATAATTCCACAGCAGCGGAACAGCAAGTACACCTGAGTGTTCAGATCAATGTCCTGAGGGTTTCAGTTTTTTACCAGCTCAGGGGATCGTCATGCAGAAAGGAAGAAAGGATGGAAAATGAATGAATTTGATGTGTTTTTGTTAAAACAGGTCAAAAGGGCCCTCAGCAGATACTCATTTGCTCAAGGACTCCAAGTAAACAACCCCCTCACCAAAACCACACATGATAACCCAATTACAGTAAAGTAGACTCACCTCGTCCTTTGCACAGGTAAGAGTAGAAGCCCTCCGACTTGAGCATGATGAGCAGGGACGACCAGCCAAGAAGCACAGCAGAGAAAAGCAGGTTCTCAATGACTGCTGTAACCGCCATCCACCAGCGGCGGGAGAAGGCCGTGGCCAGAGTAGGAGCCATTTTGGATGGATCAGAGATAGCAATGTGCTAGACCTGACCGAATATGAGGAGGGCTGCTTAAGCCTGGAAGATAAGATAGAGACAGCAGAGACAAGATGACAACCAGAAATTATACCCATGGTGAGGTACTTCTTACAGGTTTATTTATAATTATTTTCGTTAAGTCTAGTTCATGTAGTTCTTTAACATTATGAAATATTTGAACAATATGACCTCTTGCAAGTGTTTTAGATGATTCCTGGATCCATATTCAGTACAGGTCTTTTTTTTTCTAACCTACTGAGGACGGTTGTGATCGAGAAGACAGTTAAAAAAACTGAAAACAGCTGAGACATTTGAGAAGCAAACCCCTCCTATAAATATTAAACTGTCTCCCCCTGACATATCTGATTGGCTCCAGGGTACAACAGGTCTCCTCTTATTGGTTGTTTGTACAGCAGCTACACGTGAGGTTGCTGTTGTATTCCACCCGAATAGGACACAGCAGAGGGTGTTTACATTTTTGAAAATGTTGTTTGTATAAGTTTTGACGTGGAAACTGTAAGATTTAAATTTTATTTTAGTTTTAAAATAAAAAATGCCTTTACAGGACACGACTTCTCCTCTGCTTTTGCTGAAACGTGAGGCTTTTTATTTGGGGTTGTGTGGCAACCCTTTGTCACAAACGTGGTTCGAAAATCCCACTTCAATTGAATGCAGCGCAAGCTCAGCCGGTTCGAACCAGCGCGGCGCGAGACTCAGCTGCTGCTGGTTGGTGTTCAGCGCGAGCGCTTCTCAACAGGAGCTGTTAGTGCAGTGTGCACCGTTACAGAGGCGAACGTCATAACGCAAAAAATACTCACTGGAAATGTATTCAAACATACAGAAATGCATTTATTACGAACACCCAGCCAACATTTATCCGATAATACTGAGCGACATTATGTGTAATTGTACTTGTTTTAATAACCAGATAAAAACTCCATCTGGCTGGAACACATAACCTATCTGTTCCCTTCACTTTGTTCATCTTAGACAGTCATCTTTTGAAAGAAGACCGTTTTAAACCTACTGTCCGCATTTTTGTGTGAATATGAACTTGAGATAGCCTAACTCGACGACCCCAACACTAACGACCGTGAAAATACGCTAATATAGCTTGAACACACACAGACCAGAGTTCATTAGAAGTTTGTGCATTTCTCAGCAACAGCTTTGTCGTACTGAACAATGACACAAAGAACACTGCGATGAACAAGCAGAAGCCTTAGAACTGGTCTGAACTGGACTAAAAGCATCCGCACAAAACACCCCCTCCACCTTCCTCGATCCACATCTCTAGCCCCCTGCACGCGACACAGAACATTATATTCCTATTCCGGTTTTGAATTTCAATATAAAACGCGTTCGCGTTCAGCCGCGCGCTCTCAGCGCTCGACGCATTCTTGCTGCTTTTATTTTTGAAAACCACTTCGTCTGATTTTCCGGGTCTGCACACTTTAGGCTTCAGCACTTTGACGCCGATCTCAGCCAGAAGCTCTCAGCTGTTCAGTATCAACAACAGCTCAGGGGGAACCGCCGTAATCATGCCCAAACAAAGACAGTTAACTAGACACAAACAGCCTCCAAAACAAAGCATCCCCGCTATCACTTTGCTTCTTGACAGCAGCTTCCGTCACATTACTTTTACCATAAATCGAACGAGTACTTTAAAGGCACCTTAAGTTTGGTTAATAACAGTTTGGTTATTAATGATTAATAAAGAGAGGAAAATTAAGTATGTTCGTGTGTGTGAGTGCCTGTGTAAATATGGACTGTGTTATCATATCAGTTGTAAGTTTGCTGTAAAAAAAAAAAAGCGCTGAAAAGGCGAAGCACGGATGGAAAATGACTGACACACAGTGAGAGGCTGGATGAAGTTGATGAGAGAGTCACGGCTGTTGCAGCTCGAGCTTCCTCTCAGCAGCCTTTAAGCAAAGCGGAGACACTGTGAGTGAAGGAGGACACTGCAACACGCCGCCTGTCACAGATCATGTCCTCTCAGAGTATGTGCAGCCTCTTCCCCGGGGAGCAGTGTCTGCAGAGCATCCTCTGGTGCGAACCTCACCTGAAGCGCGCGCGTCTATGGGTCTTGGAGGTGGCGTGGGTGTGGGGGGGTTCAGCTGAGCGGCTCGGTCCTCGCAGTCAGATCCGCCTCTGCGGGTGAGAGCGTCGGTCGGTGGAAGAGACGCGGGGCAGCAGTGACAGCTCACAGCCAGGTGCCCCCTGGCTTTCTTCAGTTCTCAGTTTTCCTTCTCGGGGGTCGTCGCCTCCTCTTTTATATGAGCGCAGCAGCGGTACACAAACAACAGAGCCTCTCCATTGGCTACTGGCTGAGCTAGAGACCAGCCGTGGCCAATCGGAGCGCTCCAATGTTATACATGTGCACTGTTTCACAATATATTAAGAAATATACTGTGGGGGCTTGTTTGGACAAGGACTGAACAGCTGGTCATTATGTAGCTCTCACTGTGAAACAAAAACAGTGTCATAAAGAGGACAGCACAACCCAGACTGTCCAGCTGTGATCTGTGGAGGAAAAAATGTTCTGCATCTGCATTAAAGGTGTCAGTGGGCTACGGTAAACTAGGAAACTTCTGAAAGCCTCGTGAGGTGTGTGTGCTTATGTAAGCCACAAATTGCCCATAAATCCACCAGAATATGAGGTGACACCCTGTTTACTTTCAGCTTCGTGCCAAATGCAGGATTCCTTGAACTACAGGAGAGGAGGGTTTACATGGTCCAGAGGAAAAAGCTCCTCTGAGGAGGGCAAATAACACCAGGGGAGTATTCTCAGTGGGCGACACCTGCTGGCTGCCTCAAACCATGACAGCGCAGTGCAGAGATTATACAGACAGTTAAACCACTGACGTGCTTCTCAAAGGTTCAGCGGGAAACCTAGTGTTTACTATAGCACAGACCTCTAAACTGTTTGACAGCAGAATCACATAATCAGCACTCACGTGATCAGTGGAGCCATTTAAAGGAGTCTGTTGAATCAGATTCAAACAAATTACCATGAGATAACGGTCTTGATGCACGTTCAATTCCAAAAAGTTGATTGTGTTAATCTGGACATAGCATTTTCAGTGGGACGCAGATAGCTCCATTCCTATTTCATCCTCCCCACAACAACAGACACTTTGGAGATGGCGATCACTGCTTTTGTGACATGTTAGGTATTTTGTAGCACAGACGCAACCATTCCTGCTCTTTTGAGGAGGTAATTTGGATCAGATTGGACTCCTGCATGTGGTTCTATCCCCCACATGGTTTAAATGAAGAATATGATATGAGCCGTTGTGGTTCTGACGTCTCACTGCCTGCAGTGCAGTTTGTGCATGAAAACAGTTTTCTGATGCTATCAGTTTGATCTGTATTTTATAAAACATCCAACTTGGATTTTTTTAAAATTAGTTAATGATTGATACAACAGGGTGAACTTGAGCAGCTGCACAGCATATACACTTACACCATGAAGTATAGGGAGGTGTTTGACAGTTTTTATAAGCTTTGTTGTTTCCTGTCAATATAACAATACAACTTGTTACTGTTCCATCATTTTGATGTTTAATTTGATTTCTTATTTTTAACAGATTTTTAAAAAATTTAAATAGGCCTGTAATGACAGTTTTTACCTCTATACTACTTTTGTTGGACTCTAATGGAGTAGTTTTCCATGTTTCAACATTGAAAACGATCCTTATTAATCATATACCGAGGCCTGGTGCGGTTCCTCGGTTCATCCACTGAACACTGAAAGTAGTAATTTCGGTTCATGTTACTTTAAGCTAACTTTCTCCTGATTGGCTGTCCCTCGCAAAGAGAAAGTTTGATTGGCAGGTGGGTGGAGCATTTGCCTCACATGGGTCATTTGTGCACATAGTGACCTGTTTATCTGAAACACGCTGTATAACACTCACCAATCAGTTTGCTTATCAGCTAAACCTTTTACACTCACTGATCACTGTATCGACCGCTCTTTAACATAAATATCTAATCAGCCAATCACATGGCAACAACTCAATGTATTTGGTCGTGGACACATCTGTCAAACCAACCTGCTGATGCTCAAACTAGTCATCAGAAAGAGGAGAGGATGTGATTTAAGTGACTTGATTTTTGATTGTTGGTGCCAGTGAGGCTGGTTTGAGTATTTCAAAAATGGATCTACTGAGATATCCCCACACAACCATCTCTACTGTTTACAGAGAGAATATCCAGCATTGATGCCAAAGGTCAGAGTAGACTAGTATCTGCTCAAAGCAGTGTGACCAAAGGAAATAACCACTCATTTAAATCAACATATGCAGAAGAGCATCTGTGAATGTACAACATGTCTAAACTTGAAGCAGATGGGCTACAGCAGCAGAAGAACACACTGGGTACCACTCCTTCCAGCTAGAATAGGAAACAAACTACAACTCACCAAATCACACAGCAAAAGACTGGAAAAACATGGATGTGGTCTGATGAGTCTCGATTTCTGCTGCCACATTTGGGTGGTAGGGTCATAATTTAGTGTAGGCAACATGAAACCATGGATCCATCCTGCCTTGTATCAATGGTTCAGGCTGCAGGTGGCGGCCTGATGGTGTGGGGGCTATTTTCTTGGCACACTTTAGGCCCTTAGTACATCCTGAACACTGCTTAAATGTCACAGCCTACCTGAGTGTTCTTGCGGAGCATGTCCATCCCTTCATGATCAGTGTAGCATTTTCTGATGGCTGCTTCCAGCAGGATAACACATCATGCCACAAAGCCATCTGTGAGGAAAGTTTCCAGCACCTTGCTGAATCGAAGCCACGAAGAATTAAAAAGAGCTTTGAAGACAAAAGGGGTCCAACTCAGGTCTAGCACCTAATAAAGTGGCAGATGAGGGTTTATTATATGGATTAGCATAACCGGTTCACTTTAAGCGTTTCGTGTTTAGTTTCAGTTGCTAATCATTTATAAATATGAATGTTTTCAGGTATCTTAAAAATAATAAATTACAATCTTGGTTACACACCCTAACTCTGAGATTTGCATTTGGTCTTGTTCACATTGTAAACCAACCTGGAAAATATTAGAAAAAACCCCAGAACACATCAGCAGGCATTTCTGGACCCTGCTAAAGGAGGGTTGCATGTTGTTGCCATTTTATTAACTCTGGGCTACTTAACAACCCCTTTGGAAAAAAGGATAGGTCACACACACGTAAAAAGCAACACCCAGCAGACACAGCCAGTTTGTTTTTAATTTTCAAATTTATTCATTCTTTAAATTCTATGTCATGGTTTAGTGTGTTGGCAGAATTCTACATTGGTTTGGTGGATACAGTAACTCAGGAGTGATAACAAGAGTGTATCTGTGAATCAACAGACAGACTTGGTTTGAATAAAGCTTATACACAGAGAGAAAACATCTCCAGGCAGGCTAACAGAGGTCTTCCTCTTCCCAGACACGTCTTATATTGCTATACTAACAAAGGCACATGGACAAGTTTGGGTTAACAAACACCAAAAAGCTTTTTCTCCCCAAAACGTTTCACATCATCAAACCTCGTTTGGCTTGAGTCGCTCATTTAAAACACAACAAAAATGGACATTTACATCTCCAACAACATTTAGTACGACACCATAACGTCATATTAATCATACAACACATAATCACTAGAAATCAACAGGGCCTTTGGCTAATGCACACAGCAGCAGCAGCACTCAGAGACAAAGTTCTGACATCAAGTGGAAACATTTTGGAGCTGCTCTCAAAAGTTTTCCAGAGCAAAACCTTTCCCCCATCTTTGGTCTCAGCTGCAAGCTTCAGGGAGAATCAGAGGTAAGACAGGGCTAAACAGAAATGTCTGAACTGGACTACAGGATGTGTTACACCTGAACAACTTCTGCTGTGACAGTTGGCGTCAGATGGCATTTTCTTGGCCTTTCAGATGGTGTCCTGCTCTGAGAAGTCTACTTTTGTTGTCACATATGAGTGAATGAACATCATGAGGCTACAGCGAGGAAACTGTTAGCTTGATTATAATTGCAAAGAAAAGAGTTAGCCTTCCAATAGGCTATATTGGAGATATAAAGCTCAGAGTTACATTCTGTCTTCATTAACGATTACAAAACCAAATGTGTAGGAGGGCTTTTAACAAACAAGATTTCCTGGAAATTTCCCATAAATCAAACCAAAGTCTTTCCCACAAACTGGGCCATTATTCTCTCCTAAATCAAGCTGGATGTAGCTACATATTTACAATTAAGACATGAGACTCTTGTCAATTCAATCTTCTCATCAATTATTAGCATCTTTTGGCCTTTTAACATAGCCCAATATAGTACAATCATTGCTGAACCAAATACAGCTTTAAAATTTAGTCTCACAGGGCTAAAGTTATTATTATTATTTTTAAAAGCCAAAATGCTGTTAGCTGTCAGACTGGTGAAAGCCTATTTAGGTGTAGCAACACCTGGTTAGTTGAGTGTAACAGGCAGTGTGGAGGGTGGAGCGGAGGGCAGACATAGTGATGGAGGGACTCTGTGGTGGTGAACAATTGGTGTGTGCTGTACATGCTGCTGCTGCTGGTGTTAATCCAACGTTCACTGAGAGGATGGCAGGTTCCCATCTGCACTTAACTCGACTCATTGGAGCGTCATGGTTCTCACACGGCGGTGAAGAGCTGCAAAACTGTTGTAAATAAAGTCAGAGAGAAAGGCACAAGCACCTAGCATCAAGGCAAACCACTGCTGCACCCTCACTTCTCTCTCCCCGTCTTTCTCTTGCCTTTTCCACAAACCTGTCTCACTTACTTTGTTCTTTTCTTGCAGCATTTAAGGAACATGCTGCTGCGATTCTCTCACAATTACCTCTCTTCTTACTCAAACACTGTACAAATAAAGATTCTGAAGAGTATTCAGTAGTAAATTGAACTCTTTAAGGTATTTTCAGCCACATCTGACACTAAAAAGTTTTTTTTGGCCTCAAATCTTTACTGAATGTTCGAAAAGTTCCTGTTCCTCCTCGTCAAACCTCCCAGCATCTGTCCTACATGCTGTCAAACCTTGTTCTTAACACTCCGCAACAAGATACAGCTTTAATAACTCGCCCAGTTAACGAAGCAGTGTCAGGCAGACAAAGGAGCAAAATAAAAATAAAAAAGTAAACAGGGAAAAAAAAAGAGGCAACAGCTGACCCTGACTTTGATCCACAACAGCCCCCTTCATCTCACTGTCTTCTATTCTAACACTTTCCTTATTGTTTTCTTGGTCATGTTCCCATATAAAGCAC